AAATCGAATATATCTATCAGTTGTTGCCATTAAGAAGCATAAAAATAGGGGCCCCGAAATCGAGTATATCTATCAGTTGTTAACAAGCAAAATTATTTTTGGGAAAACAATGCAAGTGGGTTTGCTCAGTGTAATACAGCTGTAAATTTTTTATTATTTCAAAAAAATAAGTTCGAGATCTAAGGGCTCCTTTATAAGAATTTGCACAGGACCTCCAACAACCTACCCACGGCCCTGTTTAAGTGCACAGGCCGTAAACAATGTTAATTTTCTACGTTAAGTGATACCTGTCACATTATGGTAATTTTAAAAAATTTATTTAAAATTAAAAAGTTAAATTATATATTTTTAAAAACACACATAAAAGTTTCGAAATAGCCACAAAACTTTAAAAACCTTCCTTTCAATCTCTAAACCCACGTCGGCAGCCGCCCTTTGTCGTCGACGAAGCTCCACCCGACCTCTCCTACTCACAACAATCAATACCCCTATGAAATCGCGACTGAACAATGGCCAATCGAAATTTTCTACCCCACGAATCCTATGATGAAAATCGCGGTCCCACGCGATTCGGACGACCAATCGACGTTTTGTACGCTACGAATCCTAGGATGAAAATTATGATTCCACATGATTATGATGGTCAATCAGCGGCAACTATATTGGTGTATGACTAGAAGGATGGCATGGACTAAATCGGCAACGGTGGTCATGGCTAGAAAGGGCGTCGACGATGGGTTTTGATTAGGATTTAGGATTTTTATGAATTTGGGTTTTTTTTTAATTTAAGAGAAATTATGATTTTTTTATAAATAGAATAATATTTTTAATTTAAAAAAAATAAAATTACCAAAATATGACCTATTTGACTTAATAGAGAAAACTAACGGCAATTACGGTCCGGATACCTAAAATGGTAACATTTGTAACATTAAACACCAATATCACTCAAAAAATATTGTAGGCACCTATTCATGAAAAGCTGTATAGTTTGGGCATTTATTTTATAATTAAGCCTTATTATTACGACTCAAATTTTGTTGGGATCGACTCATAAAGTGATTCATTTAGCAAAATAAATAAATTGGTAAAAGAATAAGGGTCTCGAATTGATTATCGAACTCCTTAGCATAGAGTGGGCAAACAAATTTCAAAAGCTGGATGACAATTTTAGCTCTATGAATTATGAAAGCAGCAGAGGAATTCAAAGACACATTTGATGAGCACCATTAGAGCTGGAATTCATATCATTTGATGAGTTGCTTAAAAAAGTTTCGCCATTTCTGGAATTCCGGCCAACGGGTCAACTCAGTTGGCATTATATTCAGACCGCTGCATTAGTCTGTTACGTGAAACACGGTAACTTTGATTACGAACTCCCTTGATCTGAGCACCTCAAAGACACAGACATCTCCTTCCCCAAAATTATTCTCCATTGTGAATTCATACCATTCCTGGATGAACTTAGCTTTGCTTCCTCTATGAAGACATCGCACGGGCCATTGTCTTCCGTCGGGAAGCTGAAGTTTAATGAAACCGGAAACACCACTTAGGTGCTCAGCGAAGCACGATGGTAGCCTGGTAGGTACTGCACGAGAAAACATCAAAATGTAGACATGCAATACCGTGAAAGCAAATACAATACATTTCAAAAGCTCACCATAATACATCCCCTGTATGATACGATGGCCGCAAGACGACCCTGCAGAAAGGGTTAGTCGGTTTGAATGCTGTCACTGCATTCATTGCCCTCTCTCTTTCGGGATGAAGCGCTTTCTTAAAATCCATAGCGCATTTCCACATCATCTTCATGCCCATGGACAGATCCTGTTCATCTACATTTCATTGAACAGCCGATGAGAAATTCCAAAACCATTCCATGCTGAAAAAACAAACAAACGACGGACTTAAGAACCTAAAGTACGCAAATTCACTTCATTAGCAGAATCATTCTTAGTTCAAATCCGTTAATCGAAGAACCATACCTCGAATAGCTTGATTATTCACACTCTTTGCCGCATTATGGTTGACTTCACCGCTCCAGCCAACGGAGTTTTCAAGTTTAGGCACACGGAACAAATGCTGCACCGGGGGAATCATTCATCATCCTCGAGTTCTCCAAACGGATATGGTTTACTATGATTGTATTGAGCACCAACAAGAGCATTCGTCTGATAGTTTATCTCGGAGTTGTACAAATTAAAGATACAAACACTGAAGGCTGAATTCCCCTCATACCAAAGATCGAAAAGTAGCCGATACGGATGTAGTATTGTTCGACGAATTCAGACCAACCCTCGTGAAACCAGACCTTGTTGTCACATTTCTTTATCCCTACACGCCAAACATGAGCATCAGGAACAGTGAGAGCAGCTGCAACAGAAAGTTCATCGTTTATACTCTTAACAAAGTTATCAGGGATCCTCTGCAGACAATCCCAAATTCAAAGTTAGGGTTCATTTCGATGAAATAATAAAATTGGGATTTGCTGAGAGATCTTCGGGCCAAGTCTGTCGTGTATAAAAACAACTCCAGTGAGTCAGAAGATCATTCAGCGAGATTCAAATTGTTTTACAGAATATTTCGCCAATGAACTTCACAAATCTCCTATCTTGGAGAATTTATGAGAAAAAAATTGGGTTTTGAGTGATTTACCAATTTCCTGTCTTGGAGAATAGAGGGGAGAATAAGCTTATGGAAGAAAGGGAGTGGCATAGTTGGAGAGATGGGTCAGATCATATAATGACGATTGAGCATTGAATTTTCAAATTGTATATATGTATTATTATCTACATATATTTATATATGTTTCTCGCAGTGATTGAAATGATGAGACTTGGGTGGAGTCTTTAGAGATAAAACGAAGAAGGAATACTCTACACGAGAGAGGAAGGAAAGAGCTTTCACATCTGGGTCTCCACTTCTTCCACTGTTTTGTTTTAAATCTCTTAAAAAACAACTTCATCTAAACGTTGAACCGAGTTTGATCACTCTGAACTGACTCGCTCACTGAGTTCTTCATCTCGCCTGCTTGATCTCAGATACCCTTCCACCCGCCACCTTTTCTGTTTTTGGGTAAATTACACATCTCATTTAGTTATTAGTACAATTACAAAGAGGTCACTAATTATAACAATTAATCTAGGCAAATGAGGCTCTCGTATTTTTTTAAAAAAATAATGTAGTCCTAGTATTTATTTTACCTACAGTGATCGATATGTGGCTGATGATATAATAAATAGACTAAATTGTTTTTTATCAAATTCAAGTGTCAAATTATTATTTTTAATTCAAGGGCTTAGTTATTTTTTTTTTCAAAAAATATATTTAAAATTTAAACTATACAAATATAGAAAAAAAATATAAAAATTAAAAATATATATTAACGAGAGTGGTTAAAAATGTTATTGTTAAATGATTTATTTAATTTAGAGACAAATTCTAATGTGAATTCTATTTTATTTAACAATATAATTATATTATTATGTTCGTACATGTTAATTTTAACATGAGTTTTATTTTTTTATTTTATAGAGACAAATTTTCTATTCTTTAAAAAATTAAAAAATAAATATTAAGGATAACAAAAAAATCCCAAACACGTGGAGTCCATATCCACATCGACCTTATAGAGTTGTATTTAACAAAAATTAACAATGTACGATAATTTTTCTATTACTACTTTTAAATCTAGTTTAAGTGAATTTTATTTTCCTCTATCATGTAATATTCACTAAAATGTCATTCTTAATTGTATAACTATTTTTTATACATTTTAAGCTATATATCTTATGATAATTTATACATAAATTTTAATTTTATAACTTTTAAACTTTATATTTTAATAAGATTTAATAATATTTATTTAATTCAATTTTATAAAAATTTAGTGAAATCAAATTAGAAAGGCATTCAAAGTTTAAGATTATTAGAGGTAAATATATAAACTAAATAAAACTTGTATAGGATGGACGATTTCATGTTTATATAAATAAAACACGTGTTTTGAGGTAAAAAGTAATAATATAATTTTAATTTTTTAGTAATTTAATTTTTATATTTGGTATTCTTTATATTTAAATTTTTAAATATTTTTGCTTTTTTTAAATTAGAAATATTTTTATTTTTTCCTAAAAAATCAAATAAGGCTTTGAACTTTTAGGAAAAAACCAATTTGACCTTCGAACTCGACAAAAAAAATCATTTTAGCCTATCAGTCATATTACCAGCCATCATTGATTGCCACATCAGTATCTTAAAGTATTACGTCGGCACTGTGATGATCAACGACAGAAACCGTTAGTCAAAGAATTATATTGTAAGTTTGAGGGTCACACTAGGTGCAAAAAAATACGATAATTATATTGATATTTTTAAAAGTACGAGAAACTTATGTACCATTTTGTCATTAATCTATTGTTAAAAACAGTTCATCACGATATTAAGTATATAAGAGAAGTTAATTTTTTTCGTTATAATTGAGTAATTTGATTATAATAATTAATAAATTAAATGATTTAATTGTTAAAATTAAAATTTGATTGTAACTATAAACTTAACGTCTATTTTATATAACAATCAAATAATTAAGTGACTTATTTATATTTTTGGTGACTCATAATCATACTAACAACCAGATAATATATATATATATATTAAATTAATTATTAGTATTAAATTTAGGGTAAAGTATAGTAATGGTCATTGAACTTTTCTAAAGTTTTCATTTAGGTCCCCAAACTTTTAAAACTTGCAATACAGTCCCTCAATATTTAGTTTATTTGCAATATGGTCCCTCAACATTTAGTCTGTTTGCAATATGGTCCCCGACGTAACTATTGGGGGACCATATTGCAAATGGACTAAATGTTAGGGGACTGTATTGCAAGTTTTAAAAGTGGGGTACCTAAATGAAAGCTTTAGAAAAGTTCAGTGACCATTTCTATACTTTACCCTAATACAAATTGTGGGGGAAATGATGTTATGCGAAATATGTTATTGGAGATTTCTTTAGCATTACGAACGACAAAAAGAATGATTCATTTTTTTAATGTTGTAGTTGGAGCTGAGGCTGAAGATGATAGGATAGAGTTGTTATTGTCCGAAGTTAAAGGAAAAGATATTACCGAATTAATTGCTTGTGGAATGGAGAAGTTGGCTTCAGATCCTTCTGGTGGTGGTGCTGTTGCAGCTGCCGCTCCTTCCGCTGGTGGCGACGGTGGTGGTACTGCTCCTGCTGCTGAGGCCAAGAAAGAGGAGAAGGTCGAGGAGAAAGAAGAATCCGATGATGTAATTACCTTTTCATGTTGTAATTGTCTATTGATTCTTATTTTGGTGTGTGCTTAACTAATGCAATTTCATTTTCATGCAGGATATGGGTTTCAGCCTCTTTGACTAAGCAGGCAAAGCAAAATATCAATGCTCGAGGGTTCCTCGTACATTTGCATGCTTTGTTTGAGTTTAAAAGTATTTTTTTCATGTTTTTTGATTCTTAGCTCTTCTGGGATCTTTAAGTTTTGTTTGAGAAAATATATTTAAATAACATTAACATTTTTGTTATAATTATGGATTTTCGGATTAAATGGTTGAATTTGGCTGATGGTTCTTAATGCTTATCATGTTTTAGCTATCTGTAGATATTGTTGTGGTCGCCAGTCGTGTCTGAATGAATCTCTATTGTAGTCTTTGTTAAGTAAGCTAAACTTTCTTATTCTAGGCTTGTGATATTTAACTGCTTAATCTTGTTGGGAATTGTTTAGTTCCATTTTGCCTATAAGCGTGAGAAACGGTCTTGATGCTTTTGTTCATGGCTTAGGGTCTAGTCAGTGTTGCTTTCTCATGCATTCATGTTATACAATTAGACGCATTTGTGTAGAGTTGGTTTACATCCAATCTGTTTAGTTTTCTTTTTTTAATTATTCTCCAAAAATCGAGGGTTTAACCGGGGATGGTACCGAAGGCTGTAGGTTTTTGGGATGATGTGGATCCATATTTATCTATCTAATATTAGTTTTACAATACAAGCATATAGATGAGAATGGGTAGTTGTGTATTGTTATTCATGTTATGCAGTAAAAGCTCTTGTGCTCCTAGGTTAAAGTAGTTCTTCAGTCTTTCATTGAGCACAAGATTTTGTGGTCTGGATTATTTCGGAACGGTCTTTGGTTCATATTCTGCTGCCTCTGAATGATGTCTAATTGCTTGTAGAATATTAAAAAAAGTTTATAGGGATTCATAACTCTCCGGCTGATATCCTGATAATTTTAAAGTCGTTTCCTTTATCCTTTAAGTCGAGGGTGTGCCTTGCCTCATTGGTGAGATGATGCTTCTCTCCATCCGTTTATATGTACCGGGCTACTCCCTCACAGTCAACCAGAAACTTATATAATTTTATGAACTCTCACTTTGATGCAATGAATAAGCATTATAGGTATATAATGACTTAACTTGGTTTCTTAAGCATTTAAAATAAAGAGTAAATACACGATACAGTAAATAAATATAAAATTTTTCATTACTTGAGGATATGCATCGGTTAATTGTCACAAAAAGAAAAGAGTATAAGCATAACAGAATTTAAATAAAAGGGTAAAGTATAGTAATGGTCACTGAACTTTTCTAAAACTTTCATTTAGGTTTCTCAACTTTTAAAACTTGCAATACAGTCCCCCAACATTTAGTCTGTTTGCAATATGGTCCCCAAACAGTTACGTCGGGGACCATATTGCAAACGGACTAAATGTTGAGGGACCATATTGCAAACAGACTAAATATTAAGGGACTGCATTGCAAGTTTTAAAAGTTAGGGAACCTAAATTAAAACTTTAAAAAATTCAGTAACTATTACTATACTTTACCCTTAAATTTATTAATTGATTAATTTAGATTAGATATTGGTATAAACCATTCTAGTTGGATCATATTTTATTGTATGGCGGTCATTTCTGCTTCCTTTGTGGAAGATCCAATCCAACTATGTTGAGCGCTACATTACAAAGAAGAACAATTGGCCAAGATTGATTGATAGCACAACATTCCAGAGAAGAAAGATTGATTAGGAAAAGTGTCCATGTTCAATGTATATAAAAAATAAATTATACTCACAGGATACCAGAATGGTGATTTAGCAACATCATCTACCTAGTAGTTGCCATGGGAGAAGTCGATCAAACTTTCATCCAAGCCGCCGACCACCGACCGAAACTCGAGACGATCGAATTCGACGGAATCCCACTCATCGATCTTTCAACTGGAGACATCAAGGTACTTGTTTCAGAGATTGCAGACGCCTGCAAAAACTGGGGCTTTTTTCAAGTCATCAATCATGGGGTGCCTTTGGAATTATTCACAAAGATAAACATAGCAGCTAAAACGTTCTTCGATCGACCCATAGAGGAAAAAAGAAAGGTTAAACGAGATGAAGTGAATTCCTATGGTTACCATGAAAGCGAGCACACCAAGAATGTTAGAGACTGGAAAGAGGTGTTTGATTTCTTGATCAAAGATCCATCTTTTCTACCTGCTTCGCCTGACCCTGAGGATAAAGAAATCAGGACGTTGAGGAACCAGTGGCCTGAGAATCTTCCCGAGTTTAGGTAAATAATCTTCCCTTGGGATCTTCTTCTTGCCTGGAAATGATAGAGTTTTTTTTGCCTTTGATATGTTTGATAAATTACCTGACAGAGATGAACAAATCTATGACTCCCTGCAAGAACTACTTTTTTGGCTTAAAGATGACCATTTTTTACAAATTACCAAATCTTATTAATTTCTTTAACAATTTGATTTGGCGATTGTCATGTCAAAATTTTGGTGTTAGGCTCGGTTATGTTCGTGTAAAAAATGAGCTAGATTTTAATTTCTCATTTTTGATTTCAAATTCAATTATAAATGTTCAAGCTATTTAAGCATTAAGATATTCAAATACAACTCATTCGATAGCTCGAGTTGCTCGATTTTAATTAAAAAAAACAATGATCGATTCAAATTCGAGCTATTTTTAAAGTTAAATCGAAACAACTTACATGTTCGTGTCTTGTTATGCCTTATATTAATTTGGCACCTGGTTTATTAATGTTGGATAGGGAGGTATGCCAAGAGTATGCTCGAGAACTGGAAAAGCTAGCTTACCAGCTATTGGAACTCATGGCATTAAGCTTAGGCTTACCATCTAACCGGTTCGATAGCTACTTTGAGGATCATACAGCAATGATAAGATTTAATCACTATCCTCCATGCCCTTGCCCCGAGTTAGCACTCGGCGTTGGTCGACACAAGGATGCCGGTGCCTTAACCATTGTCGCTCAAGATGATGTTGGAGGGCTACAAGTAAAGAGAAAATCGGATGGTGTCTGGGTTCCAGTTAAACCGACACCAAATGCCTTGGTCATCAATGTTGGTGATACAATTCAGGTAACTTGAGGTTTAATCGGAGCTGGACTTGGACAAATGATTTTTCTTCAGGTCGGTTTAGTATGATCTTATCCACGAATACCTTTACACACACGGTCACGATTCGGTTTTGCAGGTTTGGAGTAATGAAGCTTACGAGAGTGTAGAGCATAGGGTGGTGGTGAACTCGGAAAGGGAAAGGTTTTCGATTCCGGTCTTCTTCTTCCCTTCTCACTACGTGATGGTGAAACCATTGGAGGAGCTTGTGAATGAGCAAAACCCGGCCAAATACAAAGAATACAACTTCGGGAAGTTCTTTGTTGCTAGAAGTCGGGGTGATTATAAGAAACTGGAGGTCGAAGACATACAGATTCATGATTTCAAAATCATATAATTATTTCTCATTAATCAATATTGAAATCCTAGCCAACGTTGTCACCATTCCATCCAGTCTGTTAGACCGTATCATGGAATTGTTTGATGATAATGCTCACACTATCTTCAAGCATTTGATCAATATTACTTAATAATTTAAGGGTAAATTATGTGTTTAATACCTAAACTATCATTTTTGATTTGTTTTAGTACCTAAATTTTTTTCTCAGAAACATAACTAACGTTTAATTTTAGTACTTGTCGTTAAAAATTTAATGGAACTGTAACAACATTGCACTTTTTATGGGTAAACTAAATCATTCATCCCTTAACTTATCACTTCTATTTTGGTCATTGAAGTTTAATTTTTTTTAATTTAATTACTTAACTTTCAAATTACTTCTAATTTAATCGCTCTAATTTTCATATTTAATTTTTTATTTTAGTTATATATTAATAAAATAATAATAAAAATATCAAGTCAGAAAATATTATTAATAAAATAAATTAGAGTGATTGAAACATGCGTAATTTGAAAGTTGAGTAGTTAAATTCAAAAAATTTAAATTTTAATGATCAAAATAGGAGTGAGAAGATAGTTAAGGGATGAATAATGTAATTTACCCATGAAAAAATGTCACATGCAAAAGTTTCATTAAATTTTTAACGGCGTGGTACTAAAATGAAACAAAAATTAAACGTTTGAAATTATTTTTAAAAAATTAAAAGTTTAGATATTAAAACGGATCAAAACTGATAATTTATATATTAAATACGTAGTTTACCCATAATTTAATCATATAGTTACGTTCACAACGATATCCAAAATTAATCATAATTAATCGACAATATAATGAAGTTAAAAGAGTAAAATATATTGAACACATTTAGCTACTTAAGTAATGTCTTATAATCATATTAGACATATCAAAATTTATAATATAAATTTAACGATACTTTATAATATTTAAAAATCTAGTAATCAAGCTACTTTTAAAAAATTTCTCTCAAATCTTTTTTTCATAGTCACAGTTGTATTTTCTTCATTATCTTTGTGATCGGCAGCAACATTAGTCGTAGCACTGGTCATCGACTATCGATATTCATTATTTTTCTTTTGTTTTGTTATAGCGTATCTTTATTTTTTTTATTCTTAATAATTCTGTATTTTTAGCACGTATTCTTCTATCTTTATGACACGTTTTTTCTCTGTCTCTATGACACGTTTTTTCTCTGTTTGGTCGTTATTTTTTCAGGGTTAGATTTGACATTGTCACGACTGGTCAAGATATCACTTATTTGTCATCATGATAATATTCCCTGATTTTGACCATTATATTGAATTTAAATATAAGATTTGTGTTCGTGGATAGTATTTTCACATCGCTCGATTCTGATTTACGGTATGTCGGTGTTCTTTCAATAAATTTATTCTATTTTGTGGTTTGTTTGTATATGCGATTAGATTTATTCGTATTTAACTCTTGTTTGAGTTTATTTGGTTAGGTTTTTTTTTTTACATTTTCTTTGTATGGTCTTTGTGTAATTTTATGTGGCTAGTTTTCTTGTGTTTGAGAAAATATTTTTATTATATGTTTAGTTTAAGTTATGATTATAAATCTTTAATTTAAATATTTTCTATTTTTAATAAAATTAACATCTTCTATAAAAAAATCTAATAATAAAAAATGCTTTAATATAATTCAAATACATTTTGTATACTTTATACTAAAATAATATAATACTAAAAATATAATATTATTAAAAATTATATTATATATAATATTTTAATAATAAACATTTTCATTAAAATGATACTAAAATATTATATTAATATTAAATAAATAATATTATTTTGAGTGTTTATACTTTAAAATGAAAAGTTAATAAAATATTTTACGAAAAATTAGATGGTAAAATATTTTTATAGAAAATACAAAGTAACTAAGAAAATAAATTAAATTAAAAAAAATCAATTAAAACTATCGAAGGCGTTATCAAACACATAAAAAAAATATTTTTCAAAAAAATATTTTTCAATTATCAAACATTCAAACTCACCATAATAAAAAAGTTTCTAGAAGAAATTTTTATGGTTGGTAATGCCCCTCTAATTTTACCGACCACAAATTATTTTGAATTAAGCACTGTTTACAATCGATTTTCTTCGATTACCTACCACCAACCTACCATAGATTATTTTATTAAGAAAATCGTCTTTGTATCAATTTTGATAAAGCTTTGCCAAAAAGCTATGTCAACTATCCAACCACAGCACTATTAAGGTTTCACCATGGGAGAGATTGATGAAGCTTTTGTCCAGGAACCTGACCACAGGCCGACACTTAGTACAATCGAAGTCGATGAGATCCCGGTAATCGACCTGTCGGCTTGGGGAACCGAAAAGCTCGCAATAGAGATCGGGAAGGCGTGCCAAAAATGGGGTTTTTTCCAAGTGATCAACCATGGGGTGCCTTTGGAATTGCGCTACAGGGTCGAGAAAGTGGCCAAAGCGTTCTTTCACCTTCCCATAGAGGAGAAAAGGAAAGCTAAGCGAGATGAATTGAACTTTACGGGTTACCATGACGAAGAACATACTAAGAACATCAGAGACTGGAAAGAGGTTTTCGATATGTTGATACAAGACCCCACGATTCTCCCAGCATCACCTGACCCCGATGATGAGGGAATAAGGACGTACACTAACAAGTGGCCTGAGAATCCCCCTGAGTTTAGGTAACTAAAGGGTTTAAATTTTGGCTCGTAATATGCTTGTATAAATGCCTGAGAATTTTTACATGAACATTTTCTTTCAATTAAGATTTTGGTCATATATAATTGTTAAACTAATTTGGGTTTGATGCAAAATGGTTTGTGTTTATAGGGAGACATGCCTGGAGTATTGCAGAGAGGTGGAGAAATTGGCTTTCAGATTGCTGGAACTCATTTCTATAAGCTTAGGTTTGGCTGCTGACCGATTGGGTGACTTGTTCAAACACCAGACTGGTATGTTGAGGCTGAATTATTATCCTCCTTGCCCTTATCCTGAGCTAGCACTCGGTGTTGGTAGACACAGGGATGGTGGTGCCTTAACTGTCCTTGCTCAGGATGATGTTGGTGGCTTGCAAATTAGGAGGCAATCAGATGGGGAGTGGATTCCTATCAAACCTATCCCAAATGCCTACATCATTAACATTGCTGATAGTCTTCAGGTAACCTTGCTTTTCCGTACAAACGAATAGCTAGGTCTTGAACGAACAAGGTTATGTTCGTTTGTTTATTGAAAAATGAGATGGGATTTTGCAGGTCTGGAGTAACGATCTTTACGTGAGTGCAGAGCATAGAGTGGTGGTGAATTCTCAAAGGGAAAGATTCTCGATTCCATTCTTCTTCTTCCCTTCCCACTATGTCACAGTGAAGCCTCTGGAGGAGCTAGTGAATGAGAAAAATCCGGCAAAGTATAAAGAATATAACTGGGGAAAGTATTATGTTAATCGAACCGGAAGCAACTACAAGAAACTTGATGCTGAAAACGTTCAAATCGATCATTTCAAGGCTCCCGAATCCGAGTAATTGTTGCAGTAACATCTTTATTCTAAATTATTACCTGTCTTAAGTTTCAGTTTTAAATTGTCATGATATATTAGATAAGAGTTTGTATCATCATATGGAAAATGTACTTTTACTCTGCTTCAGCTATATGATTCTGTAAGTATGAATTTGAATAAGAAAGCTGTTTTCATGTACCATAATGCCATTTCAAAAATAACATAAACATTTGAGTTTTGAAAGCCAGTGGCAACAAATGATGGATCCTTCATCGGTTGACCACCCTAGATTAGCACACTGGCACGACCGGAATCACATTGCATATATTATCTCGCCACTACTATCGATGTCTAGTTCAGAATCATTATCAAGGTCCTCCATATCGTCATCAAGGTCCAGGCTACCAGCCAAATAATGATCGAGATTATTTTTATTCGTTGCCGGGATAGTGGTTTTGGAAATGATCTGCATGATTTCATCAACACTTTGCATAGGTTGATCAGGTTCTTCGAACTGGTCGTTAATTGAGCTCTCATCAATGAGATCTGCTGGTAAGTTATTTAAAATCCACTCATGATTCTTAATTTCTGGAATGGATATCCTCTGTTGATAACAAAATCGAATCAAAATTATATACTTCGAATTTGTGAATCAAGTACCATGGGGAATTGAGGTTGTAACTTTTACAAATCTAGGTTGCTCGGACTCTTAATTTTCCTTTAAGTACTTGTGTCCGAGTAATAACATAGTTATGAGTTAGCCTCTGCTACTTCAAGTAATCATGAAGCATGATAGAGGTATGAGTAAAGTAAACTTAAGGTCTCAACAAAGAGAGAACTAACCTTTGTCGTGTCAGCCTTAAAAATCCTTGAGAGGAGATGACGGCACTCGAGGGATATATGGACATAGTCCGGGATCAAGTACTGGACATGTATAATTCGCTGCAAGAACCAACCGATTGCATTAGTCGTGATTTTAGGAAATTGCTACTGTTGGCATAAAAGGAGAAATGGGCTTACATGTATTGTTTTGTGGAAGTTCTTCGGATCATCAGGGTCTTCGAACGGATACGCTCCAACCAACATAACATATATGGTTACCCCACAAGACCAGACATCTGCAATCTGACATTTAGTTCAGCAATAAAACTTTAGCATGTGTATTACTTGCTGAGATAAACACGGGACGAGTGTTGAATAAGGTATAGGTACATGTTTAATGGGGATATGATCATTTTTTTCAGAACTTCTGTATATTTGGACCTGCATAAATATATTTGAATATATGCTGGAGTTTAAGTCGGGCAAATACGAAACAATATTACCTTTCCATCATATTCTTTCTTGAGCAACACTTCAGGAGCTATATAAGCTGGAGTTCCGAGAATCGATTTCGGTTGCGAATGCAGCACTGAGGACTGTAAAAAGTATACCATGTCAACATAAACATATAAGAAAAATCAAAGACGATGAAATGAGAAATGCAGAGGGGAAAAGGAAAGAAAGACGGGACTGCGCACTGAAATGGAGAATTGCATGCGTTACAAACACCAGATAAGAGTATCCGACAACAAGGATACGCACCAGATATGGATACTTGAAGAAAATGAAGAGCATGTATACCTTGGAATACCCGAAGTTGCAAATCTTAAAACGAGGAGCCGTACTGCCATCCAGTAATGTGTTCTCCAATTTCAAGTCCCGGTGGCATATTTGCTTCAGAGAGGAATTCGAAAAAACGGAATAACCGAGTCAATTTGTATTCTCTTTCAGACAAGTAGAGGAACAAAACTATTGTTACTTACCATTGAATGACAGTAACTCACTCCTGATATAAGCTGTTGAAAGAAAATTCGTGTCTGCAAAATATACCACAGGAGTAAGTTTGACAACAAGAAGAGGAATGAATATAGACTAACCCGTAATCGGTCAAAAACTACTCGAAAGCATCACATAAAAGAACCTCATCCTCGCTGAACCGGCCAGCACTACATATCCGTTCAAATAGCTCCCCTCGGGCAGCGTATTCCATCACGATAGCCAGATGTGTTGGTGTTAATACGACCTATGTGACACCATATATTCAAAAGTTAAAAAATCTCTCTCAAATACGAGAAGAGATAATAAACCTTAACGATTGAACCATCGACCAACCTCTTTGAACCGGACGATATTCGGATGCCTAGTGACCTGTGGTTGATAATTTCTCTTTGCACATTTTCATCAATCTGTTGCATATAACACATTGAGATAAAAGAAACACAAAATTGAACTCATAAATTTTTCATAGACACATTGTTCAAGTCCAGAATTACACACTATCAAACGAATTTATAAACTCAGAAAATGAACAATTTGCATTAGATTCTTCATAGTTGGGATATTGAAATTCGAACTCCAATTTTATCCATTAATTCTCGAAAAACAACACTTCACAAACTTCTCATTGGCAATCCCTCAAACACTTGTCAATCATACACAGCAGAGCACGATTCACACAGAAAGAAACAAACATGTTGATCATCAAAACTAGCAATGAACTGAAAAGATAATCAATTTCACAGCTGAAAACAACTAAACCTTCAACAAATCAAAGTCCATTTAAAGCTCAACACCATGGGAAAACTGCAGAAAAAATTAGGATGTTGAAAATAACAAGTAAAAAGGGAATCAACTAACCTTGTCACCTCTCTCGATATACTTAACAGCAACAAGCTCATCCTTGTGCTTATCTCTCATCAACCTAGCCACCCCGAAATTCCCAGAACCTATATCTTTAAACAATTCATAGCGATCACTTTCATGCATAATAGGCAACTCCATCCTAGGCCCCATTCATATCGCCGATCGAGCCATTAAACTCACCCCTCAAAAGCTTTTAAAAAATGCTCTAAAAAGCCGAAACCACTCGCATTATCATCGAATATAGCAGTTTCAGAGAAAACCCACCGAGATCAAGCTAGTCGGTGCAGGTTTTCGAGGTAACGTGGCAGCACAATGACCGTCGGATCATAACAGGTACACCCTTTTGGTTGCTGAAAAAAATGGGTTCTGGCCCGTGAAACGTTTACTCTCACTTGAAAATATTTTGCAAGGATTTTTTTCCCTGGGGACGATAGATTTTATTGAGAGAAATGAGACAGAGAAGAGAGAGCTCGGGAAGTGTTTGGCTCTTTTAGCTTTATAATATATGTGTGTGTGCGTATACATGTACATTGATCAATGAACCATGACGGAGGGCAGCAGGCAAAGAAACTGTGGGCGAGCTTGTTTCAGCAATGTTGTCTTCTTCTCCACCGCCCATTGCTGTAACACAACTTTCAACTGATTCATTCGGTAAAGTTGGTTTTAGCTAACTTAGTTTTTCCGATTGAATTTGTTAAAGTAAGAGTTAAATCAGTTTGTTAGTAAATTATTGATTATTGAAATTTATAATCATGTAAATATTATTATCATTTTGAACGCATTATAAAAATAAGGGTAAAGTACACAAATGGTCCTCTGACTACAGGGTGTTGCTTTGTTGAGTCCCTCGACTATTAAAAGTCATAAAATAGTCTTCTAACTATATGGTGTTATTTTGTTGAGTCTCTCGACTATTAAAAACTATAAAATGATCATCTGGCTATTCATATGTTCCAAACACGTTATATTTCAATAAAATTGACAATCATCTAAGTTGAACGTTAACATGCTGCTTGAGATATGATAATCGTTTGTGATTTTGGGATCATATTTTAGCATATTTAAGTCAGTAGGTTAATGTCAAGCTCGGACTGCCATCAATTTTCTAACAAAAAATGACGAGTTTAGAACATACAAATAGTTGAGTGATCATTTTATAATTTTTAATAGTCGAGGGACTCAACAAAGCAACATCCTATAATTGAAGGACCATTTTGTAACTTTTAATAGTCGAGAGACTCAATAAAGCAACATCCTGTAATCGAGAACCATTTATGTACTTTACCCTAAAAATAAAAGATCAAATTATGTCAAATTAAATTAAAGTGAAAGGCTTATATCTTCAATTTTAACTTAATAGAGGGGCTAAATGCGAAATTGGACCAATCTAAAATCTTGTAAATAATTCATGGGATAATGGGTAATGGTCCCAAAGAAATTCACAATAAATGTTATAAAGCTCAAAGTTTTATCAATGCCAGTAACCAAAGCTCAACACCTTTGCCCATCTCTTTTAGCAACCATCTTCACAAGCAGAGGCGGATGCATATGGCCACATAAATGTCAAATGCACACCCTGATTTTAGATTAAATATTTAATATAATTTAATATATTAAAAGAAGAAGAAAAAAATAAGAAATTTTATATTAAAAATAAGGGTATTAAAATTTTTTGATCTCATTTCTAAATTTCTAGATCCCCGATTGTTCATAAATTTCCCTTATTTAGTTCTTTAAACCCTAGAATCCCTCCAAAACCCATATGCGCGCTTACCCTTTATCTTCCCTCTCTTCCCACCGCCCTCTTTCCAGCACCCAACTCCACGTTTCCCGCCCATTAACCCACCGCTCCGCCTCACCACGTTTGACACCTTCTTTTTCCCGCCACCGTTGCTTGGCTTATCCCTTGTTCTCGACCGCTCAAGTAAGTTCCGTCGATGAAAAAGGAAGAGGAAGAAGAGGAATGGGATTCGTCCAACAACGAAAACGAAGCGTTTTGCGTTTGAATACGGTGGTGGGGTTTTCGCGGGGGACGATATGAAGCATTTGGCTGCGCCGGTGATCGAAGTTAAGGAGCTGGAAGAGTTGCCCGAACAGTGGCGAAGCTCGAAGCTCGCTTGGCTTTGTAAAGAGTTGCTCGCCCACAAGGCGGGGACTCTGGTTAGGATTCTGAATGCGCAAAGGAAGTGGCCGAAACAATAGGAAGCTACTTAGCTGCTCACTGTATGAGAATCCGAGAAAATGAAACAGGGTTTAAGATATTAAATCTCTTACTGATTCTGCTAAATTGTATACATCAACTGCTGATATGTGTTGTTTAGGGGAGATCATCCGGTTCAAGGTTGCCTGGATGAAGCTTGCGGCGTCTACAATCGGATGATTCGGTTAGGAGGCTACCTACCACGTTTTAGCTTGCATAACTCGCTTTTCTGAGCTCTTTTAAGTGAGCTGGGAGGTTCTTCGCTATATTATTTAAAACAGGCTGAGTTCATCTTTCACAATTTAGAAACATGTGGCTTGGAGATACACAAGGATATCTATGTTGGCCTAATTTGGTTGCATTAGCTATCAGTATAGTAGATAAAGAGAGGATAAAATCGCTGCGGAAAATTATGCGAGAACCGGTATGGAAGAGGGAAGAGAAGTGCTCCTGTCCGTCTTGAGGGTTTGTTCAAAGGAAGGGAATGTAAACGAAGCCGAAAGAACTTGGATCAAACTACTCGATTCCCATGGTGGTATCCCTTGTCAAGCATTTGTTTATATAATGGAAGTTTATGCGAAAGTCGGAGAGTTTACGAAATCTTTGGAGGTATTTGGGAAGATGCAGAAGCTTATGGGGTCTGCCAGTGTTGCAGCATACCACAAAATTATAGTGGTTTTGTGTAATCCGAGCAAATGGACCTTGCCGAGTCGCTTATGAAAGAGTTCATCGAGAGTGGAAAGAAGCCATCTTATGTCGAGTTAACTGATATGTACCTCAACTTCGGCCTTCATTATAAGCCTGAGTCAGCCTTCTTAGAGTGCCTAGAGAAATGCCGACCCAATCGGACCATTTTCAATATATACTTGAACTCATTGGTCGAAGTAGGTAATAAAGCAGAGGAAATTTTCAATCACATGCGTGGTAATGCGATAATCGGTGTTAATGCAGAATCATGCAATACTATTTTACATGGATACCTCACTTCCGGCGATATTTTGAAGGCCGAAAAGATATATAATCTGATGCGTGATAAGAAATACGAAATCGAATCTCCGTTAATGGAAAAGCTGGAGCATGTGCTTAGCCCAAACCGGAAAGAGGTTAAGAAACCTGTGAGCCTAAACCTAAGCAAAGAACAACGAGAGGCTTTAGTGGGGTTGCTTTTAGGTGGTCTACATATAGTCTCGGATGAAGACAGAAGGAATCACCTGATACGGTTCGAGTTCAATCAAGATTCCGTCATGCATTCTATTTTGAAGAGACATATTCATGATCAATATCACGAGTGGTTACATCCTTCGAGTAAGCTAATTGCTGGTGCGGATAATATCCCACACAAGTTCAGTACGATCTTGCACTCGTATTTCGGCTTCTTTGCGGACCAGTTTTTCCCAAAGGTTCAACCAGTGATCCCGAAGTTAATTCACCGGTGGCTGTCCCCGATTCTACTTGATTGCTGGTAAATGTACAGTGGCTACAGAAAGTCATCCGGCGATATTCTTTTGAAGCTGAAAGGGAGCAGTGAAGATGTAGAGAAAGTTGTGAAAACATTGAAAGCAAAATCCCTGTGTTGCAGAGAGAAAAGGGGAGGTGTTTTGGCTTGGATTTCTCGGAACCGATTCAATGTGGTTTTGGAAACTGGTTGAACCTTACATATTAGATGACCTGAAAGATTTTCTCCGGGCAGGCAAATGCTACCACCGACTATTCTGCGGTAGAACCTCAAGGCACCAACTTCAACAGTGCATCTAATTCTGAAGAGAACGGGCGACACATTCATTGGAGATCCACAATGCTATTCTTAGGCTGAATTTACGGTTGTGTATAACTATCAACTAATTAAATTAGTAAGTATATACTATTCTTTTGCTTTTACGTCTGATATATGTATATATGTATATCCTTTCCCACAAGCTTTCATGTTGAATACGGTCCTAGCCTATATGCTTACACTTCGTATCCAATTATAACATGTTCTCTGAAGACTCCTTGTCCGAGATTCATGTCGGTCAAATATTCGAATACGAGTACAAAGTTACGATCCTCAAAATATGTGAAAATTGGAACAAAATCCAGTATATTCAGTTGTTGAAAATGAACGAAAACCAAAAAATGTAACCCCACAAAGAAAAGAGAAGGAATCCCTTATACTTCTTAACTACGAGTTATAGTTATCAAGCCCCAAATCCCTTAGCGCATCAGTAGCAACATCCTTGCAGCCTTCGTGATTTTCCTTTGCCTTACGGATAAACTTGTCGATACCATTATTCAGCAGCAGAGTCCTGCACATGAAAGCATTGGTTTCCCATAAATCAAAGTTGATACTACAATCAACTTGTTAATACCACATTTGAATCGGAATCGTCTAAACAGAGTTCCAAATCCAAGTTAAACAAAGAGCTGGAATGAAAGAACTGTAACGAACTCAGCATCTATTTACAAAACTTGCCTGTTTTCAGGGTTCCTCACAACGAGATTCCGTATCATGAGACAGGAACTTCTTTGCATCTGCTGAGCAGCAGGAAACTTCTGCATGGCTTGGATAGCAAGTTCCCCAGCTCCGGCTTCAATGGCACGAGTTGCATTGTCCGGTGATCTCAAGCAGAGTACAGAAATAAAGGCCATGACCTAAAACAACGATATAAATGATTCATTATGACGTCAAACCTATAATGCTTCAATGGCATGCATATAGTTATCACACCATCACACTATATACATGAGAGTAATCTATGGAACATTTGAATTGTTGTTTTCAAACACATAATATAAGTGTGACTATCATGTTATAAGAGTACTTCATGGACGACGAGTACTTATTCAGGAGAATATAAATGGCTGTTATCCAGATTCCAGATAAGCGAGCATTTCACTGGTAGAAGATTCGCTGTCCCTTACCTCTTGCAGCACAGACGGGTCATCAGAAAATCTAGCTGACAATTTGATCAGCCTGTCCATACCACCTTTCTCAACTATAGCACTCTTATTTGAGTCACTTCCAGCCAACTAGTCAAAGTAAAAAATACATGCATTAAAGCATCAAGAAATGAAAGTAAATTTCAGATAACGTAGCTTCACAAAGATACAAGTTTGTGATGATGATCTATATCTTTAATATATAGAATGCATGCTATTGAAGTATCAAATATCACCCAAAATCAGAAACCCATTTTCGATCGGTAGTATTTTACAGCTCTTAGAAAAGACCTCTTCGCATTCTCAGCTGTTAAAGCAAAATATTTCACACCATGAGAGAAAAGAGTGAAAAGTAAAAAGTTCTGCACTCAACCACGGGTTATAATAAGGGAAACAACTCTCGACAGAGCATTTTATATCTATACCTTGGATAACAAAGAACAGCAAGTTCTAGCTACAGTTTTGTTGCGGTGTTCGCCACTATCATCAACACACTTCAGAAGCGCATCGATACCACCAGCATCAGCAATTGACTTGCATATTTCATCCTAGAGGAAATGAAACACCTTGGGGTAAATTAGAAGGCAAAACTTCACCACACAAATGATTAGCATCTTAAGCCTCTAACAGTGGAAATTGTTATTATATTAACCTACATCAAGTAATCTCTAATACCTCGAACAATTTGAACAACTTACATTCACAGCAATAGCTTTTAGTGCTATGCAAGCTGAAACAAGACCAGGCGAACTAAGCCCTCCATGAAGAGATTCCACAAGAGCTCTCGCAGTTCCTATTTTTGCAAATCTTCGTGCATAACCATAAACCTGAAGCAACCAAATATCTCACCACCATTTTGAGGAACAATAACGGTACTACCTAAACGATTTATTACACACATTTTACTTACTTCCGAAGCAACAACACGATTATCATCAGATGTTAACAAAACACGTATAGCATCATATAAGCTCGGAACACTTCCCTGAGTTTGTCCACTCAAAACTTGTAGAATCAGCTCATCTATTCCCAACTCCATAAACGATCGTTTAACAACTTCATTACCAGTCGAGGAAGCAGCAACAACAGTGAAACCCGAATTCAAGATATCTATATCTGGAATCCCATAACTAAGAATGCTAACCACAATCTTCGGCCCTCCATTTCCCCTAAAAGTCTCGCTACTTTGAACATCTAAAAATACAACATAACCAAATAACTCCAACACATAAACCATCACTAAATCTTAAATACATATACATGAATTGGTCGAATTGTTTCATACCAGTGAGCAACGATGCCATAGTCTTTAAGCAAGAAACTAGAGGCTGTCTTGATTCAGTTGGAATCTTACTACAGATCGAACAAACTAACTCGATACCTCCATTTTTAGCAATGATTGCAGGATTTCCCGAATCTTCTTTATTAGCACAACTCAATTCACTTAGGTTATTAAGTAATTCCGTGATTTGGACTAAATCTTGAGTGTCGAATTGATGCTTTGAGTCAGAATTGAGTTGATTTAGTTTATTCAAACATTGTATTGCCGGATGGTCCTTGACGCCGCCACCTTCCCCAGGCACACACTGCACGATCCCTATTACGAATTCATAGTTACAAAACTCAACAAAGTGAAAGGGGAAAATGAGATTAAAAATGACGAAAACGAAAGAGAGCGAATGAGATAGGAGAGAAACCAGAGAGATCGACGCCTTGAAGGGAGAGTGTTTGGATGGCGTCTTCTAGGGCTTCGGCGGGATCCATCCCGAGATCGTCCATGTTCTCTTTCACCAACTCATCGAAGGCCTCTTGCGAGATTGTACGGACGTCATTCGTTGGGGCCATCTTTTGGTTTATTTATCTGCAGATTTTTGGGATCCGCCGCAGATCGGAGGAATGACGGACCGTCGATAAGAAGAAGATTTGAGGCGGCTGACGACTACTATTTTTTGAATTCAGAGAGCTGAGGGATTTTAAATTTTTAAAGTTTTTCGTGGGGAGTTTTATTTATTGGAGTTAGAATTGAGATATTTGCTCTAAAGCCCACTTCTTGATCAGTTCGTGAAATGGTAGATCAATTAAATCATACTCAAATAAATAAATCTTGTTATTAAATTTTTAAAAAATTAAAAATTATTATTAAATTTATCAAAATGTCATAAAATAATTATTAAATTTTATTAAAAAATCCAACTCAACATACTTAAACTTGGAATGTATAACTGGATTAACAAATACAACAACAGTACTTGAATTATCACACCACAAAATTAACTTCCCAACATGAACTATATGCAACTCACTAAGAAAAGATTCAAATCAAATAATTTCAGTACTCACCCAAGTCACACTACAAAATTCAGCTTTGGCAATGGATCGAGATACAATTAATTGCTTCTTTGAAGTTCATGAGACTGGATTATCACCAAAATACACACAATATTCAGTAGTAGATCATCTATCATCAATATCAAAACTCCAATTAGTATCAGCAAAACCTTTCATATACAAACGAGATTAGAAAACTTAAAACCATATCTCACTATTCCTTGTAAATATCTTAAAATCCTTTTAATTGCCTCAAAGTAGGTATAAGGGGAGCCTACATAAACTGCCACACTCGATTAACGGCAAAGACAATATTAGGTCGAGTGATTATTAAATGTTGTAATGCTTCAACAAGACTTCTGTACTATGTTGCGTCCTTGATAGGATTTCCATCATTAGCAGCTAATTTGCAACTACATATCATAGGTGTGGGCAAACTTTTGGCTTTTCCAAATCCAAAAGATCCTCTATATACTTCTTTTGACTTTAAAAAACAACCCATTTTCAGTATAGTAAACTTCAATACTCAAAAAATAGTTTAGAACACCAAGATCTTTCAACGAGAAAGTCCTATTCAGATCATCAACAACATTATGAACTTCAACATCATGGCTGCCAGTGCGAATAATATCATCTACATAAACAAGTAGATATACCATGCTTGTATCTGATTTTTTTTTTTAACACAGAGAGAAGCATCCGATTTGGACGAGATAACCAAAAGATCTGTAAGCATCTCAAACCAGGCTTGGAGTGCTTGTTTTAACCCATAGAGGGTATTATTCAATCCACAAACCAACCGCTTTTTGTCACCCTTTTCATACTTCGGTGGTTAGGTCATATATACTTCCTCTATTGAATCGTCACTTAGAAAGGCATTATTAATATCAACTTGTCTCAAACATCATCCTCTCGTCACAGCTATAGAAAGTATTATTCTCACGGTTATAGGCTTAACCACAGAAATAAAAGTTTCATGAAAAACATTGCCAGCTTGTTGTAGATACCTTTTTGCAACCAGTCTGACTTTGTATCGAGCTATAGAACCATCTGCATTCTATTTCACTTTGAAAATCCATTTACAGTTAACTGCTTTCCTATTTGGTGGCAACTCCATAATCTCCCAAGTATTAGTACTAATAAGAGCATCATATTAAGCAATTATTATTAAATTTATCAAACTATTATAAAATGACTATTAAATTTTATTAACACCCTTACTTTTCTAATCTATCGACAAATTTAGTCTTATTCTTCATTAATGATTTACCGGTCTAATGACTGAAACAAAATAAAAGTTTTTCAATTTTAGTAACCAAAATAAAAGTGCCCTAAAAGTTGTGACCAATTTAGTGTAGTTTACCCTTAAAAAACCAGACTGCACCAACCAAATTAACTGTTTACTCGGCTCTATTAAAAATATAAGGATCAAAATGCAAATTGGCAATTTGCACAGTGGCTTTTACTATAAGTCGCTTAACCTGATGCTGATATAGCAAAAACAGAAAAGCAAAATAAAACATTAAACAAAAAGTTAATAATAAAACATGTATCGACTATTGGTCACCACCAACATGGTACTACTCAATCAGACACTCCAAATTCTACTGATATAACTATATACAACCTAAAATAAGCTTCTTCAAACACACAATCATTCGATTTAAAGCTACTTCAGTCACCATAATATAGACATATCAATGTGAGAATACTAGGGGAAGACGGAAATAAAACTAGCAACCCGCATTGAAGTTCATTCCTGTAAATGTTCCATAGCTGCTAGGTGCCTCACACGCTGCATAAGTCGTCTTCTTCGATAGATGCCTACCAGACGCAGGATGAGTACTAGAGCAATCGCAGAACAATCAAACACCCTACAGATTCCTAACCCCCCTGCAAAACAGGAAAAAAGAAAAACACTAGCATATACATACCGCGATGCATTAGCTCTTCAACACCAAAAGAATCCTTTAAATATCGATTACCTGGACACTTATCATGACCCTCATTGAATCGACCTTGTGACTGATAAGTTTTTCTCAAGAAAAAGAAAGTGTGTATATACATACCTGTAGGAATAAAATCAAATGGTGTAGCTCTGTAGATGATACTCAGCAGCATCTGCAAACATGGGGGGGCCGTTGTAAGAGTTTAGCCAAGAACAGTTGGGAGGCCAGTTTTTAAACGAAATGAGCAACTCATTGAACATAATACACATTGGAAGGTAATGATGCCTCACGGCTAATTCTGTCTGGGACATTCACAAAAGGAAAAAATTAAACTTAAATACCTAGCTTCAATTAGTATCATCTTTATTATCACCTCGACCATCATAACAACCTATTAGGTCGCTATACTCCAAGCTTCTCGTGATGAATGTGTATGGTTATTAAACAGGCTCCTTTTCATCACTCTCTCCTAAAACTTAATGATAAAAGCTCAACTAACCTACTTTCGAATTGAAGATGTACAGTTAATGTATGACACGAACCAAAAGAAAATAGCAGATTATCCATGGACTAGACATTGAAGGTAGTACAAAATTATCTAATTGCAAACAGTTAAAGATAACATTAACTTAAAATAAAGAGAAGGACAAGCACATGCACATGCACATGCACAGCAGCAGACATAACGTGCTTATGCAGGCTAGTATTATTTGTATCATTTGTATAATCTTAACTGCAAAAAGGCGTATCTCGGTAACATATGTATCATTTGTATCAGGATCCATCAACCCTTGGAGCATTCTCTTGATGAGGAATGGTAACTCCCGCACTTTCTGCTAAGAAAAATAAGGAAGAAAATGTTCATGGCCTGCTCACAACAGACCAAAAGATTGTACATCACAGTTGTAAGATAAAAGAAACAAATAATCAAGAAGAAAGCACGAGTATGTAAGGGTAAACAACACTCTTCTGCAGTTCACCTTCAAGGCAATATCAAAGCAAGTAAATTATACAGAAAAAATACGAAATATTATCAAGACACAACAGTATTCTTAAGTGTGTCAAAGGAAAGGAAAGGAAATGCAAGCAAGAGAGAAACAACAAAAAACACTTAGCGTCTAAGTTTACTAGAGTCTACATTTGGGATATAGTAGCACTCCTACCTGAATGAATCCACGCGCGCCTCCAAGAAAGAGGAGGTTATACCTCTGTACACTTTTAAGAACCTCAGTAACTTCCTGGCTCTGTTGCTGTTGTTGCAATGATGCCTCTGGCATCAAATTAACAATCTTGCAAGCACACATGGGGCACTTGCATGGCTGAGATGCTGAGGAATAGTTCCAGAATTGCAAAATACAATTGCCTGCCAAAATCAAAAAGGAGGCAGAAGAGAAAAACTTGATGATCACTGAAACTCAACCCTTTATTGCAAGAGCAGGCTAGACTTTAGAGTTCTAACTGAACACACTTTTTCGGCAATCAAAGGCACTAGCAACACAGCAATAACTACAGTGAATGAATGAATTTCTTCTGAAGAAATGACAGCAATGACGACCCGATAAGGCACAATAACTTGTAAACTGCAAATAGCATAAAGGCCAAACCCCCAAAACCACCACCCATTATTTCTATGGAGAAGGGGGAAAAAGCTTAATTAACACTCAAGATTCCCAGCAATCTCTTTTATATTAACAATGAAAATTTTGACCCTTGAGGATCCATAATTTCATGAAATTTTCTAATATCTCTTCTTGTTTACAATACTCAGTGACAATCTCATTTACCAGAAAATAAAGAGTGGAAATATAGTAAAAGAAACAAACCCTTACTAAAAATGTTTATAAGGAGCTTCCATATTCTTTACCGATTACACAATAAACTCTAAAAGTAAAAGATATAATAAAGAAATGAGGAAAAAATATACTTGTTTCCTTGTAGCAAGAATTCTTTTCTCCAAGCAATATACAAGAAGAAACTATATGAAAAATGGTTTCCTATGGATTTCTCCAATGCACGAACAAATTTATGTTAACCAGTGAGAAATTTAAGTAATTTGAAATGATTCAGTTAATCAAACCCTAAACTAAAGCTCAACAGACAATTACAGAGGAAAACCCTATTTCTTTTCCTTTCTTAAGAATTTCTAACCAAACAAACAGAACGAAACTTCAGATTGTAGTAACCAAATAAAATTGTGAAAGAAAAGGAAACGAAGCTGAAAAAGAACTACCGCAATACCAATGACCGCAATTGGTTCGACAAGGAACGGTAAAGGGACCGAAGCAAATAGGGCAGCAATCATCATCGGGAGGGCTTTCACTCAATCTCCTATCCCCTTCAAATCCCTCCGCTTTTTTTCCTCTCTCCTCCGTTCCCATTTTCCCACCCTCTGTTTCTCTTTTTCTCCCTTTCAAACTGTATTAATGAAGGGGTTTTCCATCACTTACTCGGTAAAAAAATGGGCGGTGCAAATGTTTGTAGAATGTACTGAAACGTCAAATGTCCGCCGCTATATACATTGACTAGTTTTCGCGTAGGTTTTTTAGATGACGATATAAAGCTAATTAACGTTTGGGTAAACTATGCAGTTAGTACTTAAACTATTACTTTTAATCCGTTTTAATACTTAAACTTTCAGTTTATTAAAATCATATCTAAAGTTTAGTTTTATTTCATTTTTAGTACCAAAACTTAAGTGTTGAAAAATTTGAAAGTTTAGTTACCAAAAGACGTTTTGTACCTAAACTATACTTAAGTTTCATTAAAAAAATAAAAATTTAAGCATTAAAACATATCAAAATTGATAGTCTTGGTGTTAAACGCGTTAAGTTTTTAACGAATGATACTAAAATAAAACAAAAACTAAACATTAAGTATGATTTTTAAAAAATTAAAAGTTTAAGTACTAAAACTAACCAAAACTAATAATTTAGGTCTAAACGCATAATTCACCCTCAACTTTTTCGGTAAAATATATTTTGATACCTGAACTTGGTATGAACGTGTAATTTGAATTTTTTTCAATCAAATGTTGAAATTAGCTTTAAGGTTTAATTTGATACCTAAAATTTTTATGGTCTAATTAGGTACCTGAAATTGATTTACTGATTCAAATCGGTGTCTGAATTTTACTTTTTGTTTCAATTTGATATCTATAAATAATTTATTTAAATTTATTTGAACTTAAAAGTCAAGTTTAAATACCTAATTATATAAAAAATATTTTATTAAATTGAACCAGAAAATATTATTACAACGTGAAATCAAATTCAAATACCAAAATATATATTTATCTTAATTTTTTATCATATTTTCTCTTATTTTTAATTAATATATTTATACACTTTAAAATTTTAAATTATTTTATTAATTTGATTGAAAATATAAGATTATTTTGGATAATAAAGTTATCAAAATTTATATATTATGTGTTAGATTACATTATAGGTTTGTATTGTTGGTAAATTTATAATTGGGTTGGACTCAACCAAATCCATGGGGCATTGGCATTGTTGGTTTTATGTCAATGAGGGAGCATAAGCCCAGCAGAACGCTAAACCCAAACTATGTGTAAATAAAAATGTTTCTTTGCTGCCTAATGGTTTGAGTTTCATCTAGGGGTGTAAAAGAATCGAGCTCGAAATAATAAAATTATGTTCATGTTTATTTATTTATTTTTTAAAGTGTTCGTGTTCAGTTTGTGTCCGTTTAAATTTTTAATAACTTGTTCTTGTTCACTATTTATTTTTGAAAGTGTCGGTGTTCGTTTATTTATTGTTCGTAAACATTTTCGTTTATATGTTCACAAACATGTTCGTTTAACGTTCACAAACATGTTCGTTTAACGTTCATTTATATGTTCAATTTTTAGTTTTACCTTTTCATTTGCAAGTTAAAGAAAAATGGTAAAATTCGCCACTAGTGCTTAAACACCTTAAAATTCATTGTTTAAATTTTAACTTTTACCAAGTTCAGTTTAAGCACTACCTTCACCAATATTAAAATGTAAAAAAAAAATAAAAGGAAAATGAGAACCGGGTAAACAAGCTTGCTCATGAATGAGTTGATAAACAAGTTTATTCGTGACCATAAACAAACTGAACACATATATGTTATTTCGTTTGTTTATTAAGCAAATATAATTTTTTTGTTCATATTCGTTTATTTAACTTAACAATAGAACATAATTGAACTTTATACGAACGATTTATGAATAGTTCACCAAACACTCTATTTATTTGTACCCCTAATTTTGAATTACATCCCAACTTTTAGGCGTGTTAAATGTTTGTTTAGTCAAATGATTATATTTAAGTGACTTCTGTGGTAAAGGAATTGTTGTTATTTCTCGAGGATTCATGTTAGAGTATCATAGATGCTATATGAGTGCGAGCGTTTAATGTTGAGATGTTGGGAGTTATCTTTAAACAAATATTATCTTGTACAAATAATCTGAGTCCATCCCCACTCTTAGGAGTGTTAAATATTTGTTTAGTCAAATAATTATACAAACTAATTAAAAGTATATTTTATATTCATCAAATATAATTTCTCTCTCTTCATTTGCTCACTGATAACATCCATGGCAAAATCTTTGAACTTCAATCATTTTCTAACAAAATCTACCAAATAAATGCAGTCAAAAAAGTTGGAATCCACGCCAAACAAGATGGAAACTTGATGAAAGTAGAAAAGGTAAAGCTTAGTCGACTCAACGTACTTCCTAATTATACCCCACTGTATCCTTGCTTTATCAAGCAACATTAGGATAATAATAGGAAGGAATGGCAAATTAATATAATTTCGTAGATTTTGTATTTTATTTATTTTAATTGGGGTAAGAATGGATATAAATTTAACGGATAGTGGATGGTTATAAATGTAAAAAGTCATACCCGTTGTGAGTAAGGAGTAGGTAATGGGTTTAATACATTATCTATCCCACATTTATTCGTCCACTAATTATCTACCATATAAATTTTAGATCATTATGATTTCGGTATAATTTCATAGACTATTTTATAATTTTTAAGATTTTATAAGAGATGACTTATAGTTTAAGAAAATGTTAGGGTATAAATATTTTGTAATTTTTTAAGTTGTTGCCAGGCGGGTATGGGTAGATACAGTCAGGTACGGGACGGGTGGTGAGTGTCCAGTTGGATAATAGGTATGAGGGTGAATTTGATAATGTACTTTATATGGACGTATGTAGATTTAAAAATTTTACCCATTATTAGTGGTGGATAAGTGATGAATACGAAAATATTATGTGGATATAGAAATAGGGGAAGGGGTATCTGCACCCACATTACCCGTTTGCCATCCCTATTAATAGGTAGGATTCAATCGGACTATATTGAAAAAATAATAATCTAATTTAACTCAAATTGTAGAAAAAAAATAATATTTAATCCTATTTAAATATAAAAAAATATCGTTTTGTTTAATTAGAAAGGTTGCTCCGCCTTCTACGATAAAAAACTGCCGGTTTGCTGACCGCTGCCATCGGTCATAAAGCCACTTTCAACTGTTCACTGATCCTTGCACGGTATTTACCACAACTAAACAGATACAGAGAGATGGTTGGGTATCCGAATACTACTGTCACCCCCTAGACCCAGTCTATGCGTTTCGACTAAGTATAGCGGATCACATCCATGATTTTTAAAGATATTTTTCGAAACCCTTATTCGATCAATATAAAATCACATTATAAATACATTTATAAAATGATATAATAAATTACGATAAAACCTAACTCATGAATATAAAACTAAATAGTTAAAAATTTAATTTTTAAAACATGTCGTAGAATTTGGATCACTATAAACCAATTATCAATAGCTGAATAATATTCTTTTCTAAAACAAATACTTCAAATAAAGGCTCATGTTACCAAAATAAAGTCGACTTGAAATATAAAAGCATTACAAATAGATGTACTTCAAGATATATATTGATTCTCCAAGTACTCGATCTGGGGTATCTAACCAACAGTATCTGAAAGGGGAAAAACATTTTCGAAAAGTGAGCTAGGCTCAGTGTGTCCCAATAGTACAATAAAATCATAGTAGGTACAATAACCGAGTAATAGTTTAGTAAATCATCATAAAATCATAATAAAGTTTAACTTTTGAAACTCGTAGTTTAAATCCCTTCTCCTGTACACCAACCGCAGTTCCCCAGAACTGCATCCGTAGGGCTACCTTAAGCACACACAGCAAAAAGGAAGCCTACCTAAGGATAAGCTTTTGGGCTTGTATCCTTAGGTCCATAGGGCTTACTCTAAGCACACATTAAAGAGGGCCAACCTAATAGAGCATCTTGGGGCTCGTGAGCCTACCCAAGAGTCCATTAAGTCCGTAAGGTTTACCAGCTTGATCAGAGCTATACCTCCGTAATTCAATCCAACCCAAAATCAGTATTTCAAAAATACTATTTATGCAGTAAGCATAATTTTCATAAATCAGTAAACATCGTTATCATATATTAATGAAAACCAATAGTCATATATCAGTCATTGTCCATAAACCATCAATAAACAATAAATCATAGCTTTTAATGTACCATATTTCAAAACAGATAAAACAATTAAATAGTACTTAGGGAACACACCTCGATAATAGGTTCAAGTAGTAGATCTACTGATTGTTGGTCTCACCACGTTATGCTACAGTTTTCGAACCTAATTTATAATAACACTATATTACTAATGGGTAACATAATTAATCTCTAAAATCATAAAATTTACGGATCTTACGGGTGAATACTGGCACACGTGGTTTAACTGATCTAGAAGAGCTGGGTCGAGCTGTCGAACGATCCGGAGAGTCTCTTGTACATTCAAATAATAATAATTTATCAGCCCAAGTCTTACTTAATTGTTCAAAGCTAAATTCTTAAGTATATAAGCATTTTCCGGGTTTGACTATTAATTTGGAGGATTTCGAGTCTGAATTTGACCAAACGGATTGCGGAATCGGAATCAGGACGTCGAAAAACATAAAGTATGACTTTTTAAAAATTCAAATTCTTAGTCAAAATCAAAGTCGACGGGTTTGACTGATGATTTGGATGCCTTCGGGTTCGAATTTCGCAAAAAGGACTTCGGAAACGGATTCGATACGTCGAAAAATATCAGAATAGGTATACTCGAATAAAATCAAAGGTTGTTTAATGGTCGTTTAAAGCTTGTCAAAGTTGTGGTCAAAGGGGTTCAATAGTCCACATTCGAAAATTTCCAAATTGTCATTTTTCACAAAATGTCACCTTTTCCACAAAAATTCCCAGAATGTCACCTTTTTCACAAAAATTCCCAGAATATCACTAGGTCGGGTCGGGTCAGACCGGTCAACCCGGTTCGGACCGATCCACCACTCATTAATTCGGAACTCCCCCACGCGCAAGGGCGGCGCGTGGGGGCGCGTGAAGGGTCTTCTAAACTCCAAAAATTCCTGAAAAAAATTCTAAAATTTATTTTAAGCG